CGCCACCCTTACAGTGAAGTAGTTCATCCTAATATCTAACCTAAACCTATCCTCCCTCAGCTTGTCGCCATTGGTCCTAGTGACTCCATATTGCTAGTCTTCCTGCACATCGGGATGGTTTGCTCCTGCACTCTCAGTAAGGTTTCTTTAAAGTACAGCCAGCTCTCCTGGACTCCTCTCCCCCTCAGACTGGCTTCCCAGGAGAACCTGCCCATGAGTTCCCTGAGCAAGTCGAAGTCTGCTTTTCTGACTTTTTTCTGACTTTTCAGTCTCTTCAGTCCAATTGGGTTCACTGACTAGTTGTAATGGACTATGTCACGGACAATCTTACCTAGTGGTTAGGCCAGCAGAGTAGATCTGCAGATGGAAAGAATCCAAAATACAGGCCCAATATGTTTAGTATGGTAAATTTCCCTCCATTTTGTCAGTTTGCTTTTCTGAAGTTGAGCACCATAGGGTAAGTCCATATAGCACAAGGCAGTGTTGTACTGCGGTATGCTGAGTACACTTCATATCTTTTTGTGAGCCTAAAGTGGTGTAGCCACTTAAACATAGCACTGTGACTCTGTACTGTGTCATTAAGTTTTGCTGAGAGCAGGTTACTGGTTTCAAGTCAGAAGCCAGCGTGTTTGGAGTTGGTGCTGGCACGTCTCAGTATAGCAATGGCTCGCCCTCTGTGGACATACTCTTAATTACAAACCTTTTTTATTCTTTCATTTAATTTAATCAGAATAAACTTATGATCACTTGATCCAAGGCCATTTTCTATGACTAGCTCTTCTGCTTACCAAAGCAAAAGTGGTCCCCATTGCTTGCCTAAACCAAACCTTCTATAGCATATCACCTCATGTTAATTCAGTGACTGTTTGTTAAAGAAGTCTTGCCTATCAGGAATATCTGGGCCCTATCCTTATTACTAGCATTCATTTTCCAATCTATATCAAGGAAATTAGGGTCTGTCTACATGGAACAAATGCAGTGCCAGGTTGTGATACCTGAGCTCTTCCTCTGAATGAACTGCTTTGGGTACCAGAAGGTGTATTAATGTGGCACTTGTTTCCTGACTGAGAAGCAGAGGTGCTTTGTTCAGTCAGCATGCATTGTTAATGCATCTGTACTGCATTTGGTACCTGAAGTAGTTTGGATATCTCTACATGGATTGCATGATATACCTTTAAAGTTTTGTGACGTGACATAATTTCTGGCAATATTTATCTCCCTAATAACATTACAGAAATCTCTATCCATATCCAAATCTAATCAGAGTTCATATAGCAGATTCCCAGTACCTCAGTAGCCCTCTATCCTTCTCCAAAGTGATTTTGACCCAAATAAAATCTTTTATTCATGCTATCCTTTCTTATTTCTATCATGTCATTAATGTTTAGTGCTAGTCAACCATCTTTATCTTTGTCTGTCTTTTCTGAATTGTACATATGCTTCATGATTGCTCTTCTACCAAGTTTCTGTTATTTCTTTAATATCTGGTTTTGCATCCTGCACCAATAGCTTGAGTACCTCCACTTTGTTGTCCAAGCTTCTTGCATTCCAGTTGTTTCAGACTGGCTACACCCTATTTCCTAGCTGTACTGAGACAGTACTTTTACTGCCTGCACCACATACCCAACTACATTCATCATTAATGATACTTGTTTCCTTGCTGTCCTTCAGTGTTTTCAGACTCTAGTGTTCCTTTATACAGCTCCGTATCTTGAATTTTTTTTCTCCCTGGGCACATCTACACGAGAGGCTGACTGCATACTATCCTAATAAGACTGTGTAGTAGCATGTCACAACATGGACAGTGTTAATATGCTACTGTACAGTATATTAGGCTACTGCGCAGTAGCGTCACTTAAAAGTACTAACTAAATGTGCAGTAATGACTGCGCAGTAGTGTCTTACATAGAAGCACCCCCTGTGTTTTAAAAGCAGACATGGATAGTACACAAGTGTCTCCTGATTAGAACTGTCTTAGATAAAACATAAAGGCAAAATACATGGGTTTTTAATATGTACTTTTCTTGAGCACAACCTTACAAGTAAATTTTTATGATGGTTTTACAAAGCTGGTGGATATGTAAAAAGTAAAAATACTTTTTTCCTTCACAATTCTATATATTTTTTCTTTTCAGACAGACATTATCAACACTATGTGTGGATATAAAACTATTGATAAAGAGGTAACTAAAAGAAATTTTTATCACTTCATTATAAAGAATCATGAGAGAGCATTCCTTTCTGACAAAGCAGATGGTTTCTTTATGAATCACTCTTTTTCCTGGTTCAACTTACACAATGCTTTCATTTCAGACTAGGAAAAATACAGCCCAGTTTCTAGTACTGCATATTCAGTGCACAACGGAGTCATTCAATAATGTTAATGCTCTGACTAGAGCTGGGGGAAAACCAAAGTTTCCCATTTTAATAATAAAAAAGCTTTTCTTTTTATTCATACATCCCATTCTTATATCCTACAGTGGGTATAAAATATTGAAGACAAAACGTTGTAATAGTAGAGGAGAAATGGGGCATCCCATGTTTTTGTTGGCAAACTTTTAATGCTCTTCAAGCATAGATGTGAGATATGGCCTAAGCCTGTATTTTCTCCTCTTTTCTGGGAGTTATTCCCATTGACTTCAGTGTCATGGGCTTTGTGAGAACCAGGCATCCAAGTCTGGGCTTGCAGCCTGTAATAGTAGAGTGTATATTGAACAGAAGGCAATAATTTGATCTGCTGGGGATCTGTACAGCCCTGTTTTGTAGGAGTAGTTTTGGCAGTTAAATTGAGAATCAGCTGAAAGTCTCTTTTCCCCTTTTGTGTAAGACACCTAATCACACAATGCCAATTTGAATGACATTTTTTTAGATTGGCAGTACTTTAAATATGATCTGTCACTTAGGCTCACTGGGCACCTATACACATGTTCCAACAAGTTCTAATTAGAACACGTCAGAACAGATTCAACAAATTGAGTCTGCTGCAACGTTCTAATCATGTGTTGCAGTGTCTTATGTATTCAGTGTCCCCACATTTCAAAATGGTGGTGGACACTGAATAACTAAAGCTCATTCAATGCCTCCATTTTGAAATTTGGGATACTGAATACATGAGATGTTGTGGGTGTTTTAATTAGAGTAGCTCCTAAGAGCTACTCTAATTAAATTGTCCATCCCCTGCCCCCCCAACCATGGAGCACATGTAAAAATGCCAGTTGAGTCAAGGGTTGATTCTGCAAGATGCTAAACATTGTTCTGGTTCTGATCCATGGAGCACTGAAGCATGTACTTTACTGGAAACTCACAAGTGGTACCAGCCATTTCAATGGGACCATTCACAGGCTTAACTGCTTTGCTGTTTTGGGACTAGACATGGCTCCAACACCTTCGAGGGTAAACTTTAAATTCTCTTTTCTTGAGTCTATGAGCCAGCTGCAAGACAGGATAGCAACTTGGCCACAGTTTGGATTTTTGCGCTGCAGCAGTTGCAGCCAGGAAGTACTCAGGATGGTTGATAGATATCTCCTATATTTCATGGTATAAAATTGGGATCAGTTGTATTTCTTTAAGTAAACTTAATATTTTAGATGCTTGGTGATAAGGCCATTGCACCAAGTTCATTGGGGTTGCAAGAGCTTGAATGAAGACAGAATTTGATGCTTTATATTCTAAAAAAACACCTTGGCATGCTTTTAATCAAACTGTTATATTATTTTATAGCGCCTGAGCATTCAACATGTTATATATATTCGAGGATGCACAAATGCAGTACTCATTTGGTTCGTAGACAATTACAGCATCATGGCAGGTGTCTTGCTTGGTATATTGTTACCACAGGTAAGGCTAGGTCATTATGTATGTTGTTCATTAAAGGGAATGTTTAGCTCATGGTCTTGGTAGACAATACAGTATTTGATTTGATAAGACTGTTTTTATTTCAAGTTCACATAACTTGGAAGCTGGTGTGGGTGTGCCTTTGTGTCTTCACAGAGGCCCATTGATTTAGTAGCACAGTGTGATATGTTACATTTTTTCATAACCTTTGCCCACTAGTTTGCATCCATAAGACTTAGTTTAACATTCTGAATCCCAGGGTAATTTTCAACAGGCATAATTTATTTTCAACAGTGGGGGGTAAAGGAGGTGGTAGATGTCACTAAAATCTCCTTCATTTCTCCACTTGTGAATTCGCCCTTCCAAAACTGCACTGATTTGAGGCTCTAACTTAAATTGGGGAGGGGGGCGGGGGGGGAGTGTGTGCGTGCGTGCACTTCAGTGTATTACAATAAAAAAAAGTTGGATGAGGAACACATGGTCTCCTTTCATAAATGCTCTTTTATTTTACAGTTCTTAGGTGTGTTGTTGTCATTACTTTACATAACACGAGTAGAGGACATCATTGCCGAGCACAAGCTTAGTGAGGATGCTTCTGTTGCATTCCAGGAAAAGTCAGAAGTTGAACGAGCAGGAACGGGTTGCTGTATGTGTTACCCTGGGGAACAGTAGTTGCCAGGCAGAAAATCTTAAGTAAAGTATAAACGAAGCCTTGTTTTGGTTTGTATCTTTTTCTGCAGATCTTACAGACCTTGGACATAAGCAGTGTTAAAGCCTTTTTGATATTTTTAAAAACAATGCATCAAAAGCAGAAGCCAAACTTCTCCACCCTGTGGTCTTAATTGATTTTCCACTGTGTTTCAGTGCCGAGTATGCTTTGACTTTTCACAGGATTTTTCAGGCAGTCTACTGTGGGGTGTTTCAGAGTCTTAGGAGTGCTAGATTTCATCAGACCAAAAAGTGGAACAGGTGTTTTCCAGAAGTGGACAAATTGCTACTGGACACTGTAACCAGCTCAGTTCAGCCACACCTTTTGTTGCACTAGCCAGCTACTACCATAAGTGACTGCTTGCCTATAATACAAGTTCTGTATCTACTCTCCTTTCCGTGTTTTGCCTCCAAGGAAACAAATGGTCTCCTACAGCACAATCCCAGGAGCCAGCCCTGCTTGAAAACTGTTAACTAAACTTGTTTTTTAAATGATTACTGAAGGAACTGTGATAAGAGACATTTTCTGTTAGGGAAAACTCAGAAGTAAACTTTTTTAAAAGAGAGCTTTTGTTTCTTAACCTGTCATATTTAAATGTTTGTCCTTTCAGATATATTTTCATATTGATTCCTAAACAAAAGGGAGACTTATGTGTGCTTATATTTTGAATCAAATGGCAAATATTAAATAGACATTTAACATTTTTATGCTGGTCCTGATGAACTGATATAACTGTGTGTAATGCCATAAACTTCATTGCTGAATCCTTTGTGCCTTTTAATAATTGGGTATATGCCAATGTTTGAATCAGTCAGGTATGCTTTGATAAACTTTTTATGCAATTTATTACTGTACGGATTTTTATGGCAGCTGCTAGATACTGGATTAATTTGAGTCTTGTATGTATATGTATTTTTCCCTCTATAAATTATCTAGATTGCCTATTGATTTTTGGAGTTCTATTATGTTCATATATTTCATTTTCAAATGTGATTGTGCTCACAAAAAATAAATGTTAATTTTTTTTAAAAAAGCAAATACTTTAAATATGTGCTTCTGAATTTTACTGAGAATATATTCAGTCATGGATCTTAATAGATTATAAATCTTCTCCTAAATCTTTTTCATGAATTTTCAGGCAAGCACACAGAATTGCAAAGATATTTCTGCTGCTGCAGGGCTACAGCTTCTAATATAGTTTCATATTTAGAGATTTTCAGTACAGATACTTCTAAATATGAAAAAAAACGATGAGTGTTTTCCTGAAAACACTATATAGGTTTCCCTCACTTTATGCGGGTTATGTATGTGTGAGTTTGCTCTTATGCAATGACCCTTTTATACCAAAAATTTGTTAGATGCGAGGTAAATTCACTGTTATGCAATCAGTGTGGTGGAAGCCCACAGTCAACTGGTTCATGCGGTGGATTGTGGGAGTGACGTGCACCAAAATATAGTCTCCTGTGTAGATCTGTGCTCTTCACTTGTTGTCTGTGACACGTGTTTCTGTAGTTGCTATCCCCATTATGATAGTGCCCTGTGCCTGTGCACGTTTTCAGTGGTGAACCCCAAAGTGGACCAGAAGTACTTCTGATCCATTTCTGGGTCTGCCAGGGAATGTGCTGGGAGGGCCCCCCATGCACTCTCGGCTCAATGATCGGCTGCGGGTGGTACACTGAGTAACACAGAAAGCTTGCTGGATTATTGGGCTCAATGGGTAGTAATCAATGGCTCAATGTCTATTTGGCAGCTGGTATCAAGTGGAGTACCCCAGGGGATGGTCCTGGGGCTGGTTTTGTTCACTAGCTTCATTAACGATCTGGAAGATGGGATCAGTTGCACCCTCAGCAAGTTTATGGATGACACCAAGCTGGGGGTGGGGGGGGATGTAGTAGATATGCTGGAGTGTGGGCTAGGATTCAGAGTGACCTGGACAAATTGGAGGATTAGGCCAAAAGAAATATCACAGACACATCAGAGGAGGAGGTGGGTAGTCAACAGACTGCCACCCCTAAGATGAGATGCAGGGTGGTGGGGTGGAGGGACTCCCTCCTGCAGGGCACCGAGGGACCCATCTGTCTTCCGGACCCCATAGCCCATGAGGTCTGCTGCCTCCCTGAAGCCCACATGCGGGCTGTTGTGGAGAGAATCCCTAGGCTCATCTGGCCCTCCGACCACTACCCTATGTTCCTCATCCATGTGAGCACAAATGACATGGCTGGGCTGTGTCATGAGTGACTACAGGGCTCTGGGGGCTGGGCTCAAGTCACAGCTAGTCTTTTCCTTTGTGCTTCCAGTTGTGGGTCATGGACCTAGGAAGGAAGGATATGTTGGAGTAGTGAACTGACGACTCCACCTGTGGTGCTGCTGAGAGGGCTTTGGTTTCTTTGACCACATCACACTCTTTAGGGAGAGAGGACTCCTGGGAAGGGATGGCACCCACCTTGCATGGAGAGGTAAGTCCCTGTTCTTGGCCAGGATGGCTGATCTTCTAGATAGGGCTTTAAACTAAGATTTCCGGGGGATGGGGAAACGCCTTGCTGGGGTCGTTTGACCCCAGTACTCTTTCCTGCCATGGCAGGGGGTCGGACTAGATGATCTTCTCAGGTCCCTTCCGACCCTAGAAACTATGAAACTATGAAACTGACTGGAGCATGCCTGGGGACCAGCACAAGAAAATTCTGAAGTTGAGAACAATAGGAGAGCCACTTTTGCAAGAGCTGACGGAATGGTTTTCCCTTAATGTGACAGGAAATCGAGGGTCTCAACTGGAGGACCAAGGTGCCTGTACACTAATGCCAGAAGCATGGGGAACAAGCAGGAGGAGCTAGACCTCCTACTATCCAGTGGGCATTATGATTTAATAGGGATTACGGACACCTGGTGGGACTCCTCACGTGATTGGAATGTAGCCATAGAGGGCTACACTCTGCACAGAAGGGACCAAATAGGGGAAAAAAAGGTGGAGGTGTAGCTCTCTATGTGACTTTTTGAAGGTCAACGTTGGCTTCAAAGAAGAGCGACTTGAAATCCTTTGGATCAAACTATAGGGTGGGGGAGAAGCATGGTGAGAGACTTAATTGTAGGTGTATACTACAGACTACCAAACGAGGGGGAGGAGCTCAATCTGAAGTTCTCTTGAACAGGCAGAGGCTGCGCATGCAGGGGGCATGGTTGTGATGGGTGACTTCAATTACCCAGACATCTCTTGGGAGGAACACTTGGCTAAGTCGGTTTGGTCATGTTGCTTCCTGACCTGTATCAAAGAGCTCTACCTGATTTGGGAAGTGCATGGGCTAACCAGAGGTAATGTTCTTCTAGACTTGGTCTTGGCCAAAGGAGACCATTTGGTGAGTCACTTGAAAATAGAGGGTAGCCTGGGCAACAGTGACCATGAAACCATCATATTCACTGTCTGTCGCAAGGCAGGAAAATCAGCTAGCAGGGTTGAAGTTCTGGATTTCCCAGGTCAAGGGTGGGTGCGGGCAGCGGAGTCCCCCAGGGCTTGGTCCTTGGGCTGGTGCTCTTCAATATCTTCATTAGCGACCTGGACGAGGGTGTGGAG